TTTGAATATTTTTCTGACCCCGGGGCTGTATTTAGAATTCTTGAAGCAAGAAATTAGCCACTTTTAAAGACGTGCTACTTTGACCTAGAAATGTTCCATGTTTTGTCCTTTGTTCTCCCATTAGAGCATACATTTAAATAAAAATGAAAGAAACCACTGTTGTTTTTCCAAGCACAGTTTGTGTGTAATGAGGGAAGTGATTATCTCGGCACAAGAACAGCTCCCTTGGAAATGTTTAAAATTGGCTCTTTTCCTCCCTCTAGTGGAATCGTGATGCATTTGCCCTAAACGGAATTGATCGAAGTCTGCATCAGGCAAAATAGAGAAAAAGGGCTAGCATGACAAAGTCGCAAGCAGGCATCAAGCCAAACGCAATGTGTTGCAGGTTTTCCGCCCAAATGTCTTAAATGTTTTACTTTGTTTAAAAAAATTCAAGATTAACAATAAAAAACTTGCAACGTCGATTCAGACCAATGCACAGTCTTCACATGAAATACTCAGGTCCAACTTAGATATTTTGTATTTAATTTGTGCCCACAAGAATCTTAGAATCAGTTCACTTATGAAAATTAGTGGGTCAAAGCATTTGACTGAATAGGACAAGTGACCCATCGCTCAACAACAAGGCACAGGGTTTGGCAAGAAATATTCATGTCAACCCAGTTTAACATGTATTTACAGCTATTTTATGTGAGGTTCTTCTGTTTCCATCTCTCTGAAACCATTCTCGACACCCCCAGGCAGGGTAAACCATACCCGGGTTTGTCTAAAACATCTACACCAGCCACGGAAGGTATGGCGATGATGCTGATGACGTGTGTATGTGTGTGTGTGTATGTTTGTGTGTGTTTGTGTCTGTCTGTCTCTCCATCTGGTACCATCTCCATCTCCTGATAGGCGCTCCTTACTCTCCTTAAGAAGAGGAAGAGAGGGTGGTGGGGACAGGCTGTGACTTCAAAGGCTCTCACATTCGATTGTCTAAAAATCACTGCGCTGAAAAGTTTTAAGTAAAATCAAATATTGCTGTGCTGGCTGACTCCATGGTGCTAGCCACTTCAACCTCAACCCTGCTCAGTCCTGGGAGAGGGATCTTCTACAAGGAAGAGTTGTAATAAGATCTGCACATTAAAGAGTGAACAGGGTACTGGGAAAATAGATACAGAGGCCAGTGGGTGTCTATAGAAGGTGAGAGCTTCACTCCATGAGATCCAAAGCTACACTCAAAGTTTTCCATCTTACACACCTGTCATCAGCCGCCACCAAGCATTACCAGAACCTGAAGAAAGCATCTTACCAGGAAGGTGCAAATAAACAGAACTCCACCTTAGAGGAAATGAAGGACTTTGGACAAAGCCATCATTGACAGCCTTGGAAAGATAAGTAAAGACCAAGCATCCAAGAAAAAAGAAATTATTTTTTAAGAAAAGAACATTAGGTAACAAGAAGAAGAAAGGAAGAGAGCAAGGGAGGGGTAAAGAAAGGGAGAGAGAAAGCTTTTAGAATTTAGAGACTTCACAGCAGAAATGGAAGTCTTAATAGATTTTAAACACAAAGTTGCGAAAATATTTATAAAATGTAGTAAAGGTATAGGAAAGATAATATGTGACAGAAAAGATAAGGAAATTAGAAAATCGGTCCAAATATCCAACATCTAAATAATAAACTATGTAGAAAAAAAGAACAGAGTGAGGAACAGAATTTGTCATGGAAATAATTCAAGAAAATTTCCCCAAACTCAAGGACATGAGTTTCTAGACTGCAAGGACCCACCAAGAGCCCAGCAAAAATGGATGGAGACATGCACACCAAATCACATCACTGTGAAACTCAGAACTTACTTGCTCCCTAAGGGGAAAAATAAAATGGGAGGTGCTGAGGCCCATACACCCCAATTTCCCACCTCCAGGCTTTGCCCTAGAACTGAGAATATCAGTTCAGTGAGGGGACATCGAGAGCATCTGTTTCTCCATTTGGGACCTCGGACTTCTCTGAACCAACTTGAAATAAGGTCATGCCCAAATAAACCAGGCTGTGCAGAATGACTGAGCAAAGGGGGCCTTGACATATGCCCTGAGAGTCCAGAGAGGAGGATCCAGAACTGAAGCTGGCCATGAGGCCGACTGTGGCTGGAGCTGCACGGAAGACAGACTCAGGAGATCCAAACACCTGTGAGACCCCATAGAGGCCAAGTTCATCATAAAGGACTACAAGAAACACCCAGTTAGAGAGAAGATAATGTGACCACAGACCCCTTTCCCCTCATCCCCATGGTTGCCTAGATGGCACTCTTGGCTCCAGGACCCAGATGCAATCTTGGAGCAGTGCCATGGCGAGGCTTGGAAGATAGGAGAATCTGATCCACTGAGCGTTTTCTCTCCAAGAGTGTGCATTACCTAGAAGGACCGTCAAAAGATCACGTTATATTAAGTTAAAATCTGATAGGACTAAATATTTTTCCTCTACTGACCAGTTATGGTGCTCATGAGAAAGACCAAATTATTGATAGGCAACATAAAGGGAAAACATTTTCTCCTAGTTGTAGATTACAGCTATAGGCTGAATGGATTTCATGAAGCTTTTAAAGTGAAGAAAAAATTAATACCTTCCAGGGGGAAAAAGGCCAGCATTCATTTCTCCTCTCCTTGCTCATACAAGGAAAATACCTAAGTATATGAACAAAGCTATATTTACTGAAGCCTGAAGGTTCAAATGGACTTGCTGGTGGATATATTTGCCAACATGAAGCAGAGCTTAGTGCCTGGCTCTTAGGTTCAAAGAAAAACAACAGCTTGAATATGAAGAAAGCCTAAGGCCAAAAACACCCCAAAACACCTGCAATCATATTCTGCTCTAATGTGCAGAGTTCCCATTCCGGAGCTGCCAACCTAACGAAGTGTTGTAAGATAATCTTAGCTATCTCTTCGCTTTTTGCTGAAATTTAAATCACTGGCTCTCACTGAGAGCAAGGTATTTTTGATGCCTTACACATTCTTAGGTGCTCTGCATTCTGTCAGGATTCCATTAAAAGGATTTACCCTAATGTATTTAACAAATACATATTATACATAAATGTACATTATACAGATACATAAATATGCCCTGATTACTTGAAGTATATTATGCATATATAACATTTATATGTGCATCACTGATTATTTCCTTGGTACACATTCCAGAAAGATCCCAGGGCCTAAACACTTTAAAGATGCTACATAACTGGGGGCCCTGGCTGGCTCCATTGGTAGAGTGTGCAGCTCTTGATCTTGGGGTTGTGATTCAAGCTCCACGTTGGGTGTAGAGATTGCTTTAAAAAAAATTTTTTTTTAATAAAAAAAGGTACTACACAATTGCTCTGAGAAGAGAGAGATTTCACAGAGAGAAGCGTCAGCAAAAAAGGAGTTTCCACTCTTGAGAACGCAGGCAGGTGCCACTGAGGGGGGCAGGCTGAGGAGGAGGCGGACGGTGAGCTGCGCACGTGTCCTGCATCTGCCCCACAGCCCCTCCCCAGGCCGACGCGTCCTCCAGGTACCACACGCACTCACGCCTAGGCCCCATCTACGTTTTCATAAGTAAAGGCAGCCTTCATTCATCCCATTGCTTCTCCATCTCGAGAGCACCACCCTCTTCTCTTGGTCCTGAGAAGGCTCACTATCACAGCCGAACACCAGGCCGTGTGAAGGGTTAAAAGGGGAAGGGACATCCCATAAGCCCCTCTGCTCACAGACCCCTGGAAGAACCTCTAAGTGGCCAGTTGGAAGGAAGCTCTAGAAATATACTCACGATTCTTGGCAGCCATGTGTCATGTCAAACAGTCTATTACTGTAGAAGAAAGGGAGCATAAATATTTGGGACCACGAAAGGTCTGTCACAAGAACAGAAAGGAGAATGAACTTGTCATGAAACGGAGCCAAACAAATGATTCCTTGTCATCAGCTGCTGGGCAGGAGGCACGGTCTTATCTCATGCTTATAAATCATATACCTATCATTGAATAAAAAAAGACCCAAGAGTACAAAGAATTATTTCTTCTTTTTTAATATCTGCAATGAAGAAGGGATTCCACTTTCCTGAAACCATTTTTCTAAAACAAAACAAAAATGCCCTCCCTTCCTCTGAAAGCACTTTGACCACAGATTCCCCTGGGCCGGCGAGCTCACACCTTCCCACTTCCTTGACCAAAAACCCCCATCAATACAAAAGCCCCGCTGGACCAGCACCTCTGAACAACCAACATACGCTGTGACAACATCATAAATTAGAAAATCACAGCAACTTTATTCATTTGCAAGGTACAAAGAGAAAGCATAAAATGTTTGCTTTTCTAGACTGCCGACATAAGCTTTTCAAACTGTTTAAATAACACCAATAACATGATTAGATATCACATCTTTCAGAAACCTAATGCTATTTATTGGCTTTAAAAATATTTTCAACTGAAACCAAGTACATATTTATACATGTAAATACATTATGTAAAAATTACCTATAATTCCTTTGAAAAACAGTATGATGCAATTATTAATACTAAACTTTATTATAATTTAAGATTCTATATGATAAACCTGATAAGGCCTTATATGTAATTATTTGGGGGGGATGTCTAATTTACAAACTTCACCCAGCTTAGAACTGGAAGGAATTTTAGGTAATCACCTGGTTCAGCAAACTCCTTAGGACAAATAAAGAATTATTATCACTTTTTAGATCAAGTTACATGAACTATTGATGTTTAGTGACTCACCCAAGGCCACATAGTTATTAGATTTCCTCTTTCCTCAGCTTTTTTTTTCCCCCTAGGCAAACAGATCTCAAAGCTGATTTCATGTGTAAGCATAAGACATTTAAGTGCAAGATAATTTCCTAAGAAATCCCATTCCAGGATCCACTGTGCTTATTTAGTAAGATAAATTAAATCTGTGTAATGAAAATACACAACAAGCACTGCATTTAGCTTCTTGGCTCCAATTTTAATTAGTAAAGCAGAGCCCCACACTGAGGAGAAACATGATGTAAATATCAATATAAATATATTGCTCGATTGGCTAAGTTTAATGCATCTAGCTCAGTCCAAAACACTCATTATATCCAAAACCGTGTTGTCAGGGGAAAAGAAAGAAATATAAATAAGCAGAACATAATTCAAAGAAGGTTGGTGTACTTGTATTTCGAGCACCTGGGGTTGGCAGTCTCTGTATTTGACTCTGAAGTGCTAACCACGAGGACCATCTCAGAGGTGGTAGGGCACAGTCTAGGTCTTCTGGGTAAGTGTCCTCTACCCAAAGATGGCTCTGTGGGAGTGTCCTCAGACAGCCAGGACACGTGGACCCTTTCTCCAAGAGTACTTGGCCCTAGGATCAGGGCCAAGTCCCCAGCGAAGTGCAGCCATTTTGGGAAGAAGGCAAGTCTACCACATGGAGATCTCATCAGTGGCCCAGGTGTAGGCATGGGAGAGGCTGAGGAGCTTCCATTGATTTGGGAGATCTTCCTGGTTACTTCTGTATACCTCATGCTTTCTGGATGAGAAAAACTTGGAGGGATTTGGTAAGGACGTAGTTAAAAATACATACCAAGAAAACATTTGTTATACTTGAAGAAAGCAACCACTGATCTCTGGCTGGAACATGACAGTCTCAACCCGGATGGGTCCATTGGTCAAAAGGGAGGACAATGGTTTAAGTAAAATAGAAATGTCTGGTCTCCAGTTTTCTAGGACATACTATGTTTATGCAACAGTAATCTGGGGAAACCAGGTAACCAGTCGTGGGCCTAGATGCATCAAACAACATCAAATCTAGCAAAATGTATAATTACATTTTGCAGTAATTACAATTAATTACAATTATTCTGGATTATGCTTAAGACCATCTGGAGGACTTCTTCTCTTGAGGGGCTGGCATCAACTACGTGGCAACAAGGGTTCTCCATCCGCTGATAGGACACTTCTACCCTGGGGACAGACAGAATGAAAAGAGTTGGCTTATTTTTTAACACGGCTCTCCATGCAAATGCTATTTTCCTACCATAATGGACATAGCTTACAGCAAGGGCCCCATCTGGCTTATCTCACTGTTCCCCTCAGCCACTAGCTTTGTCCATGGGAGACATTTGATACATTTTTTTAATAAATCATAAATTCATAATAAGGCTTAATAGCTAGCCTTTATTGATACCTATTACCTACCAAGCATCAGCATTCTGCATGATTCTTCTGGTTTCATACTCAGGGTGACCTCAGGAAGGGAACCACGTCATCCCCATTTTGTAGAAAAAGTAGCAGAGGCTCAAAGAGATTAACTAATGGGACAACCGCGAAATGTCTCCACAGTCTGTGCCCTGAAGGATCTCAGACAAGCCAGAGGTCCTCAGCATACGCACTGTTTTCATGGCTGAGTCTTCTAAAATTGCACTGGGTTTCCACATCTCCCTTTGGGGTGACCTAGCCTTGATACCTCTGAATGAGTGTGCGGACGGCCCGACGGAAGTATGATGGCAGGTGGTTACAACACATGCTGTTTACCACTTCCTAGCTGAGTGAAGCTAACAAATTTCTTTCCTCTGTGCCCCCGTCTTCTCATCTGTAAAATGAGGACTGACATCATGTCTTCCTGGTGAGTTTGTCACGAGGTCTAATTGAATTAGTGCACGTAAATGGTCTGACGTGGTTTCTCTGAGCACAGCAGAGTTGTTATTCAATTATTTGTAACAGGATTGTGTTATGATAGCGCTGCTTTCGTTGTTTATTTATCTAAACTACCCTGCTTTGGCTTTTCGAACCTGTCCTACAGAGCTGACTCATGCTCAGCCATCAAGCAAGAAGACAGCCCAGACTCTCCCGCTAGTGTTTCGTAGATTTCTAATGAAAACGAAAGCACTGCCTTTAAAATCAGAAAGACTGTGATTTTAATCCCAGTTTTACTAAAGAGCACCCGGGCCAACCTAGACAAATCACTTAGTCCTTTGAGCCCCAGTTTTGTAAACTGTAAAGTATGGCTCATGTTCACTTGCCAGGATCAGGGAGCATCAGAACCCAAACGCCTGACACACGGGAAGCACCTACTAAGGACAAGTCACTGCGAGCTCATCAGCACTCGGTGCCCATTAGATTATGACTGGGGAGCCAAGACCCAGGAACGTGCATGGTCTTAGCCAGGTTCACACTGTTCCCGGCACAGCCAGGACTAGAAGGGAGGTTTGAGGCCCCGTCAGATAGCCTGGGGCTTTACCGTCACAATGCCAAAGCCCTGGGGGGTAGTCCCCTGGCATCTGATCCTGTGTCTCGGCCACATAAAAATCTGCGGATGAAATCCATGTTCTGGGGACCCTGGCGAGGCGGCCTGGGCAATACCGTCAGAAGGAGCTGAACCCCCTTGGAGGATATTGTATCGTGGGTCTGAAAGATGGGAATGATGTCCTTTTCTCCACGTTCGTAAAGTCAGAGCTGATCCCAGCTCACCACCATGCCAGGAACCCCTGCCATGCACACCAGGACACCTACTTTTGACGGAATATGCTGTTGGCCTCCAGTTCAGCTTCCTCCCTGGTCCTCTCCATGCCCCGGCGCTCAATCCGACGCATCCGCTCCTCGGGACTCACTGTGAGCAGCAGGACCAGGTCGGGCTTGAGCAGGTCCCTAGGCCACTGGTATATAGGATGATGGGCCGGGGGCAGGTGCTGGAGCCCCCCGGTCACCTCGGTGGCTATGGCGTAGGTGGCCGTGCTGTGCCAGTACCTGAGAAGGGGACCAGGAGTGAGTTCTGCATCCACAGAGGCCAAGGTCAGGGTGCACCTGAAAATCAGCTGGGGGAGAAAGCTGAAACCAGGGATGGCCCCGCTCAAGTTTCCTTAGCATTGCATCTATCAAATAAACAAAACTAAATCTTATTTTTTTAAGATTTTTTTTTATTTGAGAGAGAGCAGAGTGAGTGAGAGAAAACACCAGTTGGGGGGGAGGGGCAGAGGGAGAAGGAGAAGCAGGCTCTGCACCGATCAGGGAGCCCGATGCAGGACTCGATCTCAGGACCCTGGGATCATGACCTGAGCCGAAGGTCAAAGCTTCACCGACTGAGCCACCCAGGCGCCCCTAAATCTTGCTTTTAAAGTACTTATAAAATGTAAAAAATAAACCGAAGTCAGCAACCACAATGAGAATGCAGTGGGCTCGTCAGAGAGCGACACGGACTCGGCTGACACCATACTGTCACGAGGTGACACTGTTGCGTCTCTCTGGCCTGGCCCACATTGCCTTCCGTGAAAGGGAGGGCGACCAGGAGGAGAGACGTGCTTGGTAGTCCCCTGGCATCTGATCCTGTGTCTCGGCCACATAAAAATCTGCGGATGAAATCCATGTTCTGGGGACCCTGGCGAGGCGGCCTTTGTCCCGCCCAGCGCCCAGCCTCTCACTGTGTGTCAACACCTGTCAGGGAGGGAAATGAACACAAATACGACCTCCACTACCCTGTGAAGTCCTCCCTGAGTGAAGCAGGGCCCTATTGACTGGTTCATTTTAAATGTTGGCAGGGGGAGGAAGAGAAAATCACAACAATAAAAGACAACCTATTTCAAAACGCCCCATGGCTTTCCACGGCCTGCCGGAAACGTCCAGCCTAGCGAAGACACAGAACAGCATTCAGGGTGTGCGCCCTGGCACGCTGAATCACAGGAGCCTGTCTTCATGCTCTTTCCTCCACCTGGAGTGAGCTTCTCAGCGAGCAAAACTCCTACTCTACCTGCAGAACCCTGCTCAGATGAGACCCCAAGCAGAGCTCATGGTTCCCTCCTCTGGGCCCTCAATGTCTTTCACGGTCGACTCTACTGAAGAGCTTCTCATGGTAAAGAAAAGCAATTTGTCTATAAGTATGACCTCTTTCCACTCCTCCCTTAGAAAATTCTTTTTTTAGTCACCTCTGCATTCCCAAACCTGAAACCAGTGTCTGGCTCACAGTCAGTATGTGGTAAATGTTCTTTGGGTGTGCAAATGAATGAATTGGAATCAGTTTATTGATTGGCATACCTTATTATAATCTTGCCCTGTTCATGTCATATTCCAATCTTAAGCGACTAAATGCAAAACTTCAAATACAGTATCAAAGGACTATCACGTACAACAGATATTTATGAAAATTATTATAAACATCCCAATGTAGAGAAGTACCTATAGCCCCACCCTGGTCTGTATTTCAATTTACTGCCTTCAGTGTTTTAAAATCCTAAATTCTGGGGGTGCCTGGGTGGCACAGTTGGTTAAGCATCCAACTCTTGGTTTCGGCTCAGGTCATGATCTCGAGGTTGTGAGATCGAGCCCCACATGGGGCTCTGCACTCAGCGTGGAGTCTGCTTGGGATTCTCTCCCTCTCTCTCTGACCCTTCCCCCCGCTTTCATGCACACACGCTTTCTCTCTCTCTAAAATAACTAAATCTTTTAAAAGAAATAATAAATAAAATCCTAAATTCTTGACCATTTTATATTTGAACTTCTTTTCACAGTGAAAAGGATGTACTGGGATCTACAAAATAAATTCACAGTGTTTTCTGAGCTGCGTATTGATATTTCCCCTGCCTGCTACTGGTTCTGTGGACACAGGTAACTCATTTAAGCCAATATAGCCTCACCTTCCCCATCTGGAAGATGAAAAGCACGCAACTTTTGTTTCCTTCCACAGTTGCTGTAAAAAGAGACAAGTCCTGGGGCGCCTGGGTGGCTCAGTCGCTAAGCGTCTGCTTTCGGCTCAGGTCATGATCCCGGGTTCCTGGGATCGAACCCCGCATCGGGCTCCCTGCTCGGCGGGAAGCCTGCTTCTCCCTCTCCCACTCCCCCTGCTTGTGTTCCTGCTCTTACTAGCTCTCTGTCAAATAAATAAATAATGTTTTCAAAAAAATAAATAAAAAGAGACAAGTCCTTTAAAAACTGTATCACCCTGTCATTATAAGACAATACTATTCTTACTGGACACCGGTTGTAACTAAAGCTGCATTTGCAAATGATGGTAATACAGACAATACTGAAAAGGACCAAAAAAATTAATTTGGGAGGTGGTCAATTCCAATACCATCCACCCTTCCAAGCCCTGTCCACCTCCAGAGGGGTGCTGCAAACCCCCAGCCTCCACAGCAGCTAGTTCCTGGAGTCCCACCCAGGAGCCTCCTCCCGATCACGTCCCTGATTCACCACCTACAAACGTGCACTTCCCCTTCCCTGTGAGATGAGTCTAGTCTCCCAAGCTGAATAAATCCATGCAGGGTCCAGGCGTTCTTTCTCTTGGCAGCCAAACTACAATTTGCTCTGCATTTTGCACATGTCCCATGTTCAGTGAATTAAATACTCAGCTATGAATACAGAGGCTGATATCATCTTCATTTTAAAAGCCTTCTTTTTGTGGAAAAACCATCAGCAAGAATAGATTTTTAAAGGTAATGAGGGTGATTAAGTTGCCAACCTTAACCACAGTCACCATCAAAAATGACTCTGTCGCCCTCATTTGTTCAGCTAGATGATGGTGTAGTCTAAAATGGATTTCGTTAAAATCTTTACACATGAACAAAACCCACCCAGACAACAAATAACCGCTCTTTTCTTCTCATTTGACAAGGTGATACAGTATCTCTCTAAAGAACGAAATTGCTGACAATTCACAGACACAAAGAAGAAAAAGCAAGGGAAGAATGAGAGCCCTGCTTTCTATAGCTGGGGCTCTCTCACTAACAACACTGCCACTCATTTTAAATAATCATACCCGCTGGCCATCAATTTCAGACTCTCCACCATCTAGAATTTTCCATTCCTGCCATCAGGCAAGCCACATCAGTTCAAATCAAATGCAATTTGCCGACACATTGTACGTAGCTTATATAATAATGCTTTATATCTTAATAGCAATTTGCTATTGCAAAGCACTTCCCCGTGTATCAACCCGTTGGATATTCACCACAGGTTTTAGTGGTAGGCAGGGAAGGGATATGGAGTATCTCCATTGAACACATTAGGAAACTGGGAGCAGAGAGGATAGGTATTTGTCTACACGCAGAAACCAGTGCAACTCCAGGGACATCTGAAGAAATCATGTGCCCCAGGGAGTCACCCCATATTAGGAGAAGTTTAGTCTGTCTCCTTGAAAAAGGACACTGTATGAAAACAAAGATCTCAGATACGGTAGGTAGATTCAGACACATTAATAATAGGGTAAAAACATCCCACAGGTGAAGAAGTCCCAAAAAAGGAATGCAATTTCTTACCCTTCTCCAGGATCCCCTATAACTTGCAACCCTGAAATAACGATCTTGCCATCCCCAGCGTTAAAACTGCCTGCTGGTGTCATAGCTTAGAGGACGGCCCTGGCCTTCTAACTTATTTTTACTGTGTTCATCTTGCCTGGCAACCCACCACCTCCCACTTTATTCCCTACACACGCTCTGAACTGCCTTTTCATGGAATATTTCAGAGATACAGAAAATTGTACAGAGAAAAGATATTTCAAGAAAGGGGTAGAAATTTCCAGATATGGCAAACTAGTTTGTAACTATCAGCTTGGCCACCAGGAACCAGTGGAGACCCTCAAAAAAAGGCAGGCAATGCTAGATGTTGACAAGGACACCAGCCACAGGAAATTCTCAAACACCGCTGCGGGGCGGGGTGGTCACAGTGAGTGGTTCCAACCACTTCAGAACACTTTTTGCAATACCTGCTAAAGCTGAACACATGTGAACCCCACATCCCTACGGTTCCACTCCTGGGAATCTATGCACCAAAACTGCATATGGACCCGCACCCAAGTTATGTACAAAATATTCATAGGGGCGCCTGGCTGGCTCGGTCAGTGGAGCATCCAATTCTTGACTTCAGCTCAGGTCATGATCTCAGGGTCATGAGATCAAGCCTGGAGTCGGGTTCTGAGCTCAGCATGGAGTCTGCTTAAGATTCTCTCCCTCCCCCTCTTCCCCTCCCCACCCCACCCCTCCCCGCCCCACCCCGCACTCTCTCTCTATTAAAAAAAAAAGATGTACGTTCATAGCAGCTAGGCGAGTCTCCTATGTGGCAAGAAGGAAGTCAGATGCTGGTAGTCCTAAGGCACAGCTGCATGTACAGGGCGTCATGAACAGATCAGACAATTCCACGGTGATGGAGATCGGGCAGTGTTCACTACGGGGAGGGGGTGGGGGGAGAGTGGGCAGGGACTGGGAAGGAGAATGACCTGGCTTTACGGGGTGTGGTAACGTTCTAAGTCTGGATGTGGGTGCAGGCATCCAGACTTGGGTGTGTTCACTACTTGAAATTCCTTGAGATTTACATTTATGATTAGTGCTTTTTCCTGCATACTTGTCGTACTTCAATACAACTGCTTATCTTTCCAAAAATAAGTAAAATTGCAGAGAACAAGACCCATTCACTGAACATTAAGCAATAAATCAACTGGGGTTTTCAATCTTTTGTACTCTGTATCAACTGCATTTCTCTCTCCTTAGCACTGTTAAATTTGTTCAATATCCTTTCTCCCCTCCGTACTCTACAGTTTGTTATTATTTGGCTTGTATTCTACTGAACACCTATCTGACACGTGATGTTCTCAGTCAAAATGAGGGTTTTGCATTTTATGCACACTGATGCAGTGTACTGATTTATATTGCTGAATGGTGCTCCATTTCACAAATATGCTAGTATTTATGTGCCCTTTCTTCTACTGATGGGCTTTCAGTTTTTCAAATTGTTCAATATTATGAACACAGCTGAAGGAGGGGGGTGGAGGGATGGGGTGGCTGGGTGATGGACACTGGGGATGGTATGTGATGTGATGAGCACTGGGTATTATATAAGACTGATGAGGGGCGCCTGGGTGGCTCAGTTGGTTGAGCGTCTGGCTTCAGCTCAGGTCATGATCCAGGAGTCCCAGGATCAAGCCCCACATTGGGCTCCCTGCTCAGTGGGGAGTCTGCTTCTCTCTCTCTCCTCACCTGGCTCGTGCTGTGCTCTCTCTCACTCTCTCTCTCAAATAAATAAATAAAATCTTCAAAAAAAAGACTGATGAATCACCGAACCCTACTTTGGAAACTAATAATACACTATGTGCTAATTAACAGAATTTAAGTAAAAAATAAAAATAAATTTTTAAAAAAGAAATAAATTTTAAAAAAGAAACTTTTGCATTTCTTCAGGAGGTGAAAGCAGTGTTCACTTTGCTGTCCCTTTCAGATCGCTCTCTGAGCCCCGTGTCCACCCCCACCAGTGCCTTGTAGGGCTTCTAGCCACCCCCGTGATCTCCAGCTCTGAGTCTCAGCACATTTTCATTGGTTCTCACCTACCTGATGAGAGCAAAATGGGATTTCACCGTGATTGTAATTTCCGTATCACCAAGTTGGGTGATTTTAAGCCGAGGATGACTTGCTTGCCATACACTTCAATCATTCTTGTGGTATTTTAAGCTACTTCTTAGGTACGGAATTTTAAAAATCTAAAGCAGTTTATGTCACTCCATTATCTGAAACCTTCCAATGGCTCCCCTCTGCACTCAGAATAAAATCCGCACTATCTTGGCCCACGGGCCCTGCTGTTCTATCCCCCGCCTCTCTCTGTCCATTCATCCAGAAAGCAGCCCCTCGTCCACTATGTGCTCATCACACTGGCCTGTTTCTAGTCCTTGAATATGCTACCTTCTTTCTGTCTGTAGGCTTTGCGGACTCCTCTCTCCATAATGCTGCTACTCCATAGTTTTCATTCCCATCTCTTTTGGGGCATTCAGAACTCAGATCAACGTTACCTCCTTAGAGAGGCCATCCTCAGCCATATCCACCTTGATTTACCCTCTTCAGAGTATTTATCATTCTCTGATATTACCATATGTCTTCATGCACTTGACTGTTCTCCTGCAACAGTATGTTTGCTCCATGAAAGCAGAGCATCATCGTCTAGCTCATTTACCGTTGAATCCCCTAAATTGAGAACAGTCTTTGGCACACAGTAGATGCCCAATAAATGTTTTATAAATAAGCTGACGAACAAATGAACTACTGAAAGCATCGGTTTCTAAAGCAGAGGCTTTGTCAATATCCCCAATATGCTATTTCTAGCTTAGTCAGTGGCAAGTTACTTAACCCTTGTAAGACCTAGGCTTCTCATCAGTAAATTGGGGATAACATTTAGTATCCACCTACCATGTAATTGTTCAGATACAGTAAAATGTATGTATGCTCTTAGCAAAATGCCAGCCTGTGGTGTGGGTAGTTAACAAATCATAGACATCATTCCTATTATTATCATAATTCAGTTTGACTTAATAAACACAGGTGTATACTTGCAATATATAGGTACGTGCAGACACTTAGGGAGAAAATGCCAAATTCACAGCATCTTTACACCTACCTGTCTACAATCACAGGAGATTTGGTAGATGCTTTAGCTATTTCAGAAGCCACAATATAATTGCCCAAAGAGTAAAAAGCTCTTCTAATGATAGTTGGTTCATCATCAAAGATTTTCCTCCACTGGCTGATGCAAGCGGGGGGCGACCTTAAGAGCACAGCCTTGAGTGAGTCCGAAACTGACCGGGTCACAGTGGTTTTGCCTGCAGAAAAGACACAAACATAGCGCTTCGTGACCACAGCCACCAAACGGCTCCCAAACGCTCATATTAGCCCAGAAAGAGCAAAGACACTCTATCCACCTGTAAATCAAAGCAGTTCATTGCCTACTATGATTCTTGATTTAAAAAAAAAAAAGAGAAAAAAAACCGCAGACCTTTAGGAACCGGGGATTCCTCTCTGTGGTATCCCAACACTTGGAAGAAAACCCAAATGGTGCTCTTGTTTGCAAATTAATGATAAACTTTAGCGTAGACCTCCGGGCCTGGGAAAACCTCCACCTGGTTCCTCAAAACACTCCGCACCTGCTGTGGAGGGAGCCCCGCCTGACACTGAAGCACGAGACGTCTGCCCAAGCCGGACCTCGGCCTCGGCCGGATCCTGCTGCCCTTGGCGCCTTGCTTCTCCTGCTCTTCGTGTTTGGGGCTAAGTGTGAGCTGTCCCTTGTGTCCCCTGCTCCAAGGCTTCTTCCCCTCCGCTTCCTAGTTCTTCCTGATTTTGCTCCAGAAGGGCCCTCTGAACGGCCTGCGGGTCCCGGATACCCCGGTCTGGCCCAAGTCCCTTCACTTTCGCCCGCGCTCTTTCTTCTTCTTCTTTTTTTTTAAGATTTCTTTTTTTTTAATTCATGAGAGACAGAGCGAGAGACAGAGGCAGAGGGAGAAGCAGGCTCCCAAGGAGCAGGGAGCCCGACGCGGGGCTCGATCCCAGGACCCTGGGATCATGACCTGAGCCACCCAGGCGCCCCCGCGCTCTTTCTTCTGTCGGGAGGACCGCTTTTGCCCTGCTCACCGGTACTTCTCTGATCTGTTCCGAAAACAGTCCCGGGGTCAGCCCTTCCAGAGGCTCTGTTCCCCACACCGAGGCCGCATTCAGTGCCTTCTCGCGGTCACCAGAGCACCTGGGGCCCAGCCTCCCCTGGCCTCCCGCCGGAGGTCTTATTCGACTGTCTCCCAGGCCTGCCCGGCTCCGGGCCCGGCACGCACTGGAGACCGACATGAAGCTTATGAATTGAGCTCTGTATCGAGTTTGACTTACTAAAGACCTGTCTGTTCCCGCAAGGGATCAATTAATCGCACTGCCTGTAACTCGAAGGTAGCATTACCTGTGGCATCCAGTCCTTCGATGGCAATGACCGGGAACTTTCCTCTCGCGGCCTGCTCCGGGCACCGGTCAACCAGGTCAAGCACTGCCTGGGCTTCAGGAAGGAAGGGTATACACTGCGAAACAATGTCTGCGCGTGAGCAGTGAAGCAGCGGGGCTTCTGCGGTCTCTAACCGCGGAGAGCAAGATTGCCCAGTGCTAAGAAGGCGTAGGTTGCGTCTGACGCCGCGCCAAGTTCGTAGCATTTGGACCTGGGAAGGGCTGAATTCCTTCATTTTTTACTGAATAGCTGTGCCTCCAAAAAGGCGACAGCGGCTGAGCTCACTCAGTCTGCAACCCACGCTGACCAGCTGCCCCAGAGGAGGAAGGACAGGCAAGACCGCAAGTGCGGGTTGGGGTGACCCAGCGACCCGAGACTGCAGCACGTGGTGTGCCAGGGGCGACCGCAGCTCCCGGGAGCAGCCAGCACCGTCCCTTCCTAACCGCTAGGGGGCGGAGGAGAGAGCCGCGCGCCGCGGTCACCCGGTGGGTTGCGCGGGCGTCGCGGGCCCTTCTGAGTTCTCACCTCCGCTTCCCCGCACTGCTTACCGCGGCCTCTCTGCAGCGAGGCCCGCACGTGTGTGCATGCGTGTGCTTCACCTTCTAAGCGCTTTCGAGGACTAACATGGCCAGCCTTCGCGGTGACTCGGTGAGGGTGGCAGCATTATAATCCCCCTCTACGAACTAAGGAAACTGAGGCGGGGGTGGGGGGGTGGGAATAAGAAACTGAAAGCGACACAGGTAATAAATGCCGCGTTGGGATTGAAACCCAAGCGACTGGTCCTGCCCTTTTAAACCGCTTCGTAATACAATCCCAAAAGCTTGCAAAATGCACTAAATTCCACCGCGCAGCCTCAGAAAGCCGAGTCTGGACATCCCAGGCCCCGCCCAGGCTGCGCTGGGAAAGAATCTCCGCTCTCCTTTCCCGAGCACCTGCTGCGTGCCAGAGCTCTGCTTGTCCTTGTGTCCCCCGTGCCCCCTGTGCCCAGGGCTTGTCCTGACCAAGGCTAGGCAAGTGTTTCACAGACCAAAGGGAGAACAGAGGGGTCGTGCGACCTGGACCGGCAGCCAGTAAGCAGGCAGCCGCGGTTTTAGAACAAGGTTCTTAAACCCCAAACTCATGCCCTTTTCTCCCCAAAATCATGCCCCGGCCTCCCAGATGGCAGGATCCTCCCCGCACGCGGCGGCCTCTTCCCTCCCGAGGCGCCTTCTGCACGCATTCGGAGCAGGCCTGGCGAGCGTGGCCTTGGGACATCAGTTCCCGCCTCGGATGGGAAGTTCCTGGCGGCCAGGAACGGAGAAGAGCCGCGGTGTCTAAACCAGTCTGGCACTCAGGCGGCCTGGTTTGGCGACGGCGTCGATCGGTGCCCTGGGCCGCAGAGGCCAGGCTGGAGAGGCCGGCCCCGGGGAGCGCGCGCCCCGTCCGCTCCCTGTCGGGGGCCCACCCGAGTGCCGGGAAGGGGCAGAAGTCTTACCGCCTCCAGAACGGCGCGGGCGGCCTCCCGGTGCGGGAAGACCCCAGAGCTGGGCAGGTCGGGCACCACCGGGTGCAGGGCGGGCTCCGGGGCGGCCACGACGCGCTCGCGGGGGCCCACCTGCCGCCACCCCGCGCCGTCCCGCAGCTCCCACAGGTGCTGCCACACCTGCCGGCGCGCGTCGCCCACGAACTCGCCCAGACGCGGGCCCTCCGGGGACTCGCCGAGCAGGGAGAACAACGCGCGCCGGGTGTCGGGGCTGTCGCTGGGGTCGTGGAGCAGGAAGCCGTGCTGCACGCCGCCCGCCGCGCCGCCGGGGCCGTAGCACAGCAGCGGGCTCAGCTCGCACCGCCGGAGCGGGTCGCGGCGCAGCTGGTGCAGCTGGTGCCGCAGGCGCTGGTGCAGCCGCGCCGCCCGCACCCGGGCCGCGCAGTCCCCGCCCGGCGCCAGCGGCACGCGCAGCGAGTAGCTGCGGCCGGGCGGGCCCAGGAGCGCGGCCGCGCGGGGGTCGGGGAGCGCGCCGGGGGCGTCGGCGCCGACGGCGAAGTGAGCCAGCGTGCAGCCCGGCAGCTCCAGCGCGAAGCGGCGCGGCGGCGCCATGGCCGGAGCGCGGGCCCCGCGTCGCGGCCCCGGAGGCGCCCGAGCAGCAGCGGCGAGCGCGGGCGGAGGGCGGAGGCCGTGGGCTCGTCCGGCCCCGCCCCGCCGCTCTCGGGCCGCCACCGGGGAAACGAAAGTTAAGCGACGGCGGGGCGGGCCGGGGCGGGGCGGGGCGGGGGGGGCGCCCTCTGCCCGCTCGCGGGCCGCGCCCACGCACGGCGGCGGGGAGGGGGCGGCGGCGGGGGGCGCGCGCGGTGCCGGCTGCCACCCGGCGGGCGCTCTCGGCCCGGCGCCGGCTCCTCCTCTGCTGCCTACGTCCCGGGGGGGCGCGCGCGCGTGTGAGCGTGTCCCGGAGACAGCGCGCGCCGAGCTCTGCCTTTTAGCTTCGTTCGCCCCCCGCCCGCCCTCTCCGGCTCTTCAGTGCGGCGCAGACTCCCGACCCGGGCGGGGTTGCAGACCCCTTGGCCCCTTGCTCGACCTGAAGCCTCCCCCTGACCCGCTGCATCGCCCTCACTCTGACCCGAGTCCTATGGGCTGCTTTGAAGGCCTGAACAGGGAGCGCTTTTCCCTCTTCTTGGAATTAGCCCCTCTGTCGCTGACTCGCAAACTAGGACGTATCGCCAGATGTGCAGGGGAGCCAAAGAAAGGCCCGCCTTCGGGTCCAGTTCGCTGGTCCCGGCGTGCTGTGTCAGCCCGAAGCCCGCACCTTGGTATAGCAGCTTTCACGCAATTATTCAGATGTTTTGTTCTCACTCAACAGCTGATACTTTGGAAAATGATTGTCAAGCAGGAACGTGTGGGTGGCTCAGTCGGTTCGGCGTCTGCCTTCGGCTCAGGCCATTAGGGTCCTGGGATGGAGTCCCGCATCAGCTCAGGTCATGATCGCCTGGCCCTGGAATCAAGTCCCGCATGGGGGGGGGGGGGGAGTCCTTGCTCAGCAGGGAGTCTGCTTCTCCCTCTGACTGCAGCTCCCCCTGCTTGTGCGCTCTCTCTCTCTCTCTCTGACAAATAAATAAAATCTTCATAAAAAACTGAGCATACTGAAAACAAAAATCCTATGGGGAAAACTCAAACATTTAGAAAAGACAATGAAAAACATTAGATGAACTGAGGGCAAACAAACTTTGTAATTGAAGCAGTTTGGATTTAGCATGCGTGTACGTTTAATTCTGGAAGGAATACAACTTTTGGACAAACAGGAACTATTATAGATATGTGGTTGAAGTATGAGCTAATAGACAAGGAGCAATCGGATTAAGATGTTTTTAGCTCTCTGAGTACAGGATCATTCTTACTCTCTGTGAGCAATCTCACTTTGGGGCATTTAGTGTGCAGAGTTGTTTTCACATGTATAGTGTTCTAGTGGGAGTGTAAATTGGTTCAAGTACTTTGGAAAACTCTTCGGAGGTATATGCTCAAGGGGAACACACATACACCATATGAACCAGTGATTCCAATCCTGGGTATATACCCAACATAAATGCATACATACATGTCGGCCAAAAGATATGTACAAGAAAATGCATGGTGTAATAGCAAAATATTCCAAATGCTCCTCATAATAAAATAATTAAATGTATTGTGGTATATTTAATGAAATCAATAAATGGGAGCTATGAAAATTAACAATCTACTGCTAAACACGGCAAAGTGGATAAGTCTGCAAACACAACAATGAGTGAGAGAAGCCCAGCAGAAAGAGGACGTGCTATTGTAACCTAGAGTATGGTTTTTAGGACAGGGTTATCTTTGGAGTGGAGGTAGGGTTTAGGGCCTGGGGGAAGGTCTTGGAGACTTCTTGGTAAAATTCTATTTCTTGATAAAGATGCTCATTACATATGTGTGTTCATTCTGCCAAGAATTCATTGTGCCGTGCATTTATGAACTGTGCACCTTTCAATGTATGTATAGTAGTTGATGTATGGTACTGATGTACAGTATGTATCAGTAGAAGATCTACCACAGAAATGTTATGATGATTGCAAATCACTGAACCGATTCCACCATCTGCTAATGGGTTGCAGGCACTGCTGGGACATTCCTGCAGGAAATGGCCCACTTCAGGGAGCATGGAGTACATTAAGGATGTGCAGGTGTTTTGAGAAAAAAGTCTCTGGCTAAAGAGAAATGGTGATGACATTTGGCTGTTTTCCAGTTGCATTTGGATGCCTTTAGAGATGGCCGAGTCCCGAGTAGAAAGCCTAAAGGGGGCTGCCTTGTACCTCCTCCAGCCTATCCCCGTCTTGAGCAGTTGGAAGAAGAAATCCCTCCCTGGGCCCGCGCAAGCCATGACTTTGATTATGAAAGTCTTACCACTCCTGAAACTTACTCTTAAATGAATGGGAAACGACAAGTTGGAAGGAATAGAACATCTGTTCAAGGACTTTTGTGAGTTCTTTGCTGGGAAAGACTTTGACTTATTTATTTCTATTTTTTTCATATTAATATTTTATCTAAAAAATAGGAGGCTCTCAGTTGTTGAAGCAAAGAAGGAAGGAAGGAAAGAGAGAATGCCTGAATGAGTGAATGAATGAATAAAAGAAACTGGTCCCATTAGAACAGACTTAGGAACAAATAATAAAATAATGTGCTAATAGTGATCAATCACTGAGCAGTGTTGCAGGTGTTTAAATCCCAGTTCAGACACTTACTCCCTGTGTGACGTGAGTTTCCCCAGCTATAAAAGAAGTTAGTACATGCAAAGTGCAGAGCAATGCCTGGTACCCAGTGCTGGATTGTGGGCTAGCTATTGCTAATTTATTATACAAGCAGCACTCTCTGTACTTAACATACGTTAGGTCATTTAATCCTGACAATGCCCTCTGTGAGTGTGATATCAATACCCATGTTTCCCAGATGTGTTAACAAGATCAGGCAGGTAAAGAAGTTTACCCAAAATTAAACATTCCTGGCTGAACTAGGATTGAAATCTTAAAATATTTAGCTTGAAAAGCCTACATTGGCTCTCCTCTGTGCCATGCTGCTTTGATTTGAAAGGAAAACTGACTTGGTTTTTGTTTCTTCATATACATGTGATCTAGCAAAGAAAAAAAAAGTGTTTCTTGATTATCGTACCATGGTGTTATTTCGAAATGTTTTTGGCTAAGATGATTTCAAGCACTTGGATTCTATCCACCAGTGCGTAATTGGAAATCATTACACGTAGCCTTGCTATTTTGGTGAATTTGCTTTCACTTTCCTTTCTAAGTAAAATGAAAATCATCTTTGTTTCCATTCAGAACATAACACTACTAGAAAAACAATAGCGAACCCTAACTGAACACTTAGAGTCTTCCATACACTGTCCCAATTTATGTGATTCACATGCATTAGAATTTGATCATGAGTTTGAGCCTTATGCTGGGTATAGAGATTATTAAAAAATAAACTATAAATAAATAGATATGCAGGAAAACATAAATGTCTACATTTCAACACTATGAAAATACATAAGATGAATAACTAAAGGCAGATTAAGTGTAAATGTTATTATGTGCCTGTGCATTCTGACTGTGATCTGGAAGGGGCCCCAAGGCGAATGGGTTCTGTCCTCAGCCTGCACAGGTCAGTCATGCTTTGCATTCTTTGACTTCCATAACGAACTGTCAGGGCGGCCCCCCTCGGGTAAGGTGCCAGGGGAGAGCCCCTGCATGCTGTATCATGCGTGAGTAATACATCTGAAGAGGTGCCTGTATCTCTCTCCAAGTTGCTGCTCTAGATGGAGATATGGACAGAGAGCAAGGTCTTGATCTGTGTCCAATTAGAAGGCTACTGTTGACCCAGGAGATAGGTGAAAGGTGAGGCAGAGAAATATATGTTAAGAAAAAAAAGAAGAAGAAGGTAGCGGGAGGGGAAGAATGAAACGGGGGAAATCGGAGGGGGAGACGAACCATGAGAGACGATGGACTCTGAAAAACAAACTGAGGGTTCTAGAGGGGAGGGGGGTGGGAGGATGGGTTAGCCTGGTGGTGGGTATTGAGGAGGGCACATTCTGCATGGAGCACTGGGTGTTATGCACAAACAATGAATCATGGAACACTTCATCTAAAACTAATGATGTAATGTATGGGGATTATTAACATAAGAATTAAAAAAAGAAAAAAATATAATATAAGCCACATATGCAATTTTTAATATTTTAGGAGCAACATTAAAAAATAGATGAGAGAGGAAAGAATGGGAAATTATTGTTCAAAGAGTAAGCTTAGTTTAGAAAGATGAAAAAGTTCTAAAGATACAGGGGTGTGAGATGTAAATACATTTAATGCCACAGAATTATACACCTAAAAATGATTTAAATGGAAAGTTTATGTTACATATATTTTATAATAAAAAAAAGAGTTGGGGTGCCAAAAAAAAAAAAAAAGGTGAGGCAGAGAGAGGCAGATGCCCAGCCCTGATCCTGAGCCTTGGGTCTTGGCCCTGTTCCAACTTTCATTTTCATGAACAGGAAAATCGAAACTTGAGCTCAGCTGAAAGTTAGTCAGAGATGTGTCCATCCTGCCCTTGTGATAGGCTGCCCCAGCACATATATAAACTGAGTCCCGAGCTTCAGTGCACCCTCAGGGCGCCTGGCCACCATGTGGATGCTCGTGCCCATCGCTTTTGCTGGAAAGCTGCTGAGCACCTTCAGGAAGTCTCTGAGCTCTCTATGGGGCAGCGTGGTCCCCTGGTTCTTCTGGCTCAGGTCAGCGGTCTGGCTGGCAAGGGGCAAGAGCACCCGGCCGCTGCAGCTGGGCCAGGGTGAACTGCAGGAGAGCAGAGGGGAGGAGGAGGAGGGCCCGGACCAGCCCACCAAGCCCACCAGCGTCAACTACCACTTCACCCGCCAGTGCAACTATAAGTGTGGCTTCTGCTTCCACACGGCCAAGACATCGTTTGTGCTGCCCCTGGCCGAGGCCAAGCGAGGGCTGCGGCTGCTGCAGGAAGCCGGTGAGTCCCCCCCTGGGAGGGAATCAGCGTGCAGCCACTGGCGGGGGGCGGGCGCAGGTGGGAGAGCTCCTGCAGAATTTGAGATGCTCCCCAGCCCCTCTTGCGACGGAGTATTAGGGTGAATTTGGGGTGGATGCCTAGGCCTTCGGAACCAGAGTTGGCTGGCGCAGACAGCAGGGAGGCAGACCCATCCCTCCTGTAGCCTCCAAGTGAGCAGAAGTCTGTGCACCTGCCGGGCTCCCAGTGCACCCAGCTTGTGCCAAGAGACAGGTTGGGAAGTTGTGCTACTTTCTGAATTTGTCCAAAGCACTGATAGATTGGGGCTTTCCAGAAATTGTTAACGAGGAAAGTCGAAAACAAACAAAAACTTTGACTTAAGAACTACAATATTTTTAGGGGCGCCTGGGGGGCTCAGTCAGTTGAGCGTCTGACTCTTGGTTGTAGCCCAGGTCATGATCTCAGGGCTATGAGATCGAGCCCCATGTCAGGCTCCACGCTCAGTGGGGGGAGTCTGCTTGAGATTCTCTCTCTCACTCTGTCCCTCCCTCTCTCTGTCTAAAATAAATACATCTTAAAAAAAAAAAAAAAGAACTGCAATGTTTGAGTCTTTTACTTTGAATCATGCTGTTTAGCTCCAGCTAAACTAGTAACAGCAACCTGACCGACTCTTTCTCAATTTGCTTAACCTTTTTTTTTTTTTTTACAAAAGTATAACATGCATGCCCAAAGTTGCACACATCCTGAGGGTTCAGCTAGACAAATTTCACAAAGTAACCACATCCCCATAAACAGCACTGAGATCTTGAAAGAGAACATCACAGCATCCATAAGTATCTCTCTTCCAGCTGCTGCCCTGCCCCTGCCAGGGTAACCATGAGTTTGTCTTCTAACAGACAATACTTTTTGCCTGATTTCGTACTTTATATAATGAAATTAGACCATTTGCACTGCATTGGGTCTGACTTATTTTGTTCTCCATTACATTTGTTCCATCATCCACAGCTGTTCCTCCAAGTATAGACCCACCTCACTGTTCCCAGTGGGCTCTAGCTCAGGGTCTCCCCATTTCTCACCTGGATTGCTGCAATTCATACAATTGTCTCTGCTACCCCCACTGGGACATCAAGTTCCTCCACCCCAATGCTTCAAGTGCCCAATGCTATAAGCACATCATATTACACCCATTCTCCCCCAACACCTGCATAAATCAAGCCTGTGATCATGCTGTCTTCTCCTTCTGGAATGTCCTCTCTTCCTCATGTGTGATCCCTTGGCGCCTGTTACAAATATGTATTATAACACCTTTTTTTTTAAAAGATTGTATTTATTTATTTGAGAGAGAGAGAGAGAGAGAGAGAAAGCACAAGTGGGGAGGGAGGGGGAGAGGGAGAAGCAGACTCCCCACAGAGCAGGGAGCCCAACATGGGGCTCAATCCCAGGACCCTGGGATGATGACCTGAGCTGAAGGCAGACGCTCAACTGACTGAGCCACCCAGGCGCCCCCTATTAGAGCACTTTTTAAATTATACCATTATGTTTTGTTTTTTTGTTTTTAACATCTGGGTCCCCAAAGAGTTTGAGTTCCAAGGTGGAATTTTAGCATTCTGTGTATCTTTGTGCTTAGCAGGATATCTAGAATGTAAAAGGGGGTTGGTGAATGTTTTTGGAGAGATGGATTAATAGATGAACCAATGAATGAAGGGAAGTCTGGTGTCGTGGAAAGAACTTAGACTCTTGACTCACAAGGCCAGGGTTTGAGCTCTTGCCCTAAAACTTGTGAGACTTATCAAGACATTTAACTTTTCTGAATAGCAGTTTAACAATCCTTAAAATGTAGATAATCAAGATAACACCTATACCGGTCACCTGAGTGGCTCAGTGGGTTAAGTGTCGCCTTGGGCTCAGGTCACGATCTCAGGACCCTGGGATCAAGCCCTACGTTGGGCTCCCTGCTCAGCGGGGAGACTGCTTCTCCCCCTGCCTGCCACTCCCCCTGCTTGTGCACGCTCTCTCTCTCTCTCACTCTTGCTCTATCTCAAATAAATAAATAAAATCTTAAAAAAAAAAAAAAACAGATAACGCCTATACGACCTCAAAAAGTTACGACATTGCACAAATAAGTGAATGCTCAGGTGTTTTTAAATAGAGTATAAACTATAATGGTTATAATTAATACATTTATCATTAATATAATGATTTCTCAGGTTTAAGTAAATAAAGTCAATTAAAATGATCGAGGTATAACATAAGTCATATGCCCCGTAAGTGAGATTTCTGACTAATAGAGGAAAATCTATTTTGGTGATGATTAAAAATGTAAAATTAAATGTGAATTATATTTAAAACGTACTACTCGGGCAGATGATGCTTCTACAATATATTATTTACTTCTCTTGCTTTTACACGAAGAAGAGGGAATAGGATTTAGCCACTGTGAGCATCAGATATTGATCCGTGCTGTAATACGATTGCTCCTTGTAAGTTAACATCATTGTGAAGTAATTGTTGCTTGTCTAAGATCTTAACTACGCACCTACATCCTGTTCCTTCGATGCTCTATTCCTTGCATCCCCTCTATATCTTCCCCTCAAACTCATCAAGGGCTGCAGGCCCATATACCGTATCACCTTCTCCAGCTCCTCTGACCCTATTCCACCACACTTTCGGTGATAATGATGTTTCTACTGAATGATGATCACCATCAGTCACACAGGCAGGCTCCCAGCATGTTGGATTTCAGTAGTGAGATGATGGAATTGATCACTGTCTGGTCATAGACACATCTGAGTGAGAAAGACAGTGTTGAAAAGAATAGCAGATGTCATTTGGTCTGCTATAAAACAGGGCTGTTCTGGGTGAGCTGGGATGAAGGGCAACCCCACTGACAAAGATAGAAGGCTGTGGAGCTTGGGCATCCATCCTAGCTCCATTTTTTTCCCCTAGTCTTACGATCTTGAATAAATCACTGAACCTTCCTGAGCTTCAGTTCCTGCAGCCAAAAACCAGGATAGTAATTCCTTCCTTGCTGAATGAGTTTCAGGATGAAATGCTTGCCTGAACCATGTTACCTTGGGTGAGGTATGGGGAGGCCAGATGCAGATCAAGAGAGAAAAATTGGAAAGAGATGTGTAATTTGTTACTCACAGTTCCTTGGGCAGGGCGCCACTCGCCACACAGGGAGTCCTGGGTGAGGATGGGAGGGGACTGTGAACGTGACCCATCGGCGTGGTTTTCGAGGAAGGAACAGGTAGGGAGGCAAAGTCAGCTTAGCACGGGCTAGTTTGAACAATCTCAGCAAGCTGTGGTCACAAGGGCTGTCCCGGTTGTCCGAGACCCGGCCCTGGGAGGCAGAGGGCGGAGGACAGTGGCCCCGAGAGAGAGCCTCGTAGATGAGGTGCCTGGGGTGCTGACATCCTTGGTTGCTCAAGAAGAGGACCTGACCAGCCGTCAGCCAGGACCTCGAAACTGAGTCAGGACAGCATTTTAAAATGCTACAGTGAATTTGCACAAATTAAATTTCTAAGCACAGTATTCGTTACTTAGTAGGTACAACGTCTGTTGAACGGATGTTAACAAATAACATTCTCGGGGAATTTTATGGCATGATGTGCTGTTTGGCCCTTAGTAAGTTCCCCCAGGCCTCTCTGCTAGTCTGGTCGGTGCTTCTAATTATTTCGCTCCTGTGACCAAATCTGTTTGCTGCTCTCACGGGTCCCAGGCTTCCTCCTTGGATCTCACATGGGCTTGTGTTTCTGCGGCTTGGCACCCGGGTCCTCTCCTTGCCATGCTCTGGCTTCTGTCTCTAATCCGAGCATGCTGTCTGGTGCCTGTGCCCTCCACATCAATATCACTGTATAAATTCCAAATTTCACACTCTTGTGGACCTTCGAGTTAATTTCCCCATTCCCTCCAATCTTTCATTCGCTCCACTAAAATTCCAGTAGAATCATTGAAAGCAGGGTAACAAACCCACAAAGAAATCAACACGGAGTTGTTGGAATTGACTGATGGCACTTGGACACCTTCAGCACGGGTCGGCAGGGCGGTGGCTGCCAGAGGTTCACCAGACTGCCCGTGGAATGCAGAGCATTTCAGAGACGAGAACCTTCTGATCATGCAGAAGTACAGCATTGATCAAGAAGGAGGGGGTGAGGCAGGAGCGAGACAACAGGCCGAAGGCAGATCCGCTGCTGCCCCCACCACGAGGAGAGCCCTCCCCAAGTCCTGCAGATGGCAGAGGGCATATTTTCAGAAGAATCTGGACCACCAGGCTGTGCTCAGCCACCCCGGGGGGAGCAGGGAGAAGAAAAGCACCAGACTGAAGACCGGGGAGTGAGAGTCTGCCTGCTGGGTGTGAGAGCCCACGTTCTGGGGTGCAGGCAGCCAGGGGGTACAGCATAGCAGGAGATTAAGAGTCTTCTCCAGCAGAACAGAATGGCCCAGAGGAAAGACCAAGGCTCCCAGCGTGTGGGGCAAAATCCAGTGAATAAGTCAGTTTCTCTCTCTGTCACTCTATAGTAAAACTCCATCGAGGGGTTTCTTCCTCAATCACAGAAATTCCCTTCCGCTCTTTTATGCGTCACTCAAATAAGAAAGGGTGAATAGAAACACCGAAATAAAAGGCAGACGCCAAAACAAATAAGCAAAGAGAATATAGGAAAACTTCAGAACATCTGTAACTGATAATCCCAGAGAGATGAGAGAAAATTTACATATGAGAAATAGCAATGCGCTGGTAAGTAAAGAGGATATGGGAGAGTCTGGGTAACGGAAACTGGGGTTTCTAAAATTAGAATTGTAATAGAAAGACTAAAAGACAAGGTCTTGGGAAAATGGGACGCAGGAGACACAGCAGGAAGGTCTGGTGGTTACAAGCTGGAGCACCAGCAGACCAGTGATAGGACCTCCAGAGAAACAAGCACGTTGGAGAAGAGGTAGGAGTTCTCAAAGAGTATGAGAAACTTCCCATACCAGAAGGAGCTGTATTTTTGGACCGAGGACCCGCCAAGTGGCCAGAACAATGAATAGAGACAGATTCTGCTAAGGCACATCACCTTGAAATTTGGGGACATTGGAAAGAAAGCTTCTAGAAGGGAAAAAGCCATGCACTTAAAAGGGATTATAAATCAAGGTGTTATCAGGCTTCTGAACAATAATATTAAAACCTCGAAGACAGCAAATAATGCCCTTAAAATACTGAGGGCAAAGTGACTTCACCCAGAGTACTATACCTGGCCAAACTAATGTTTAGGGATGCATTTGGAAACATGTAAGTTCTCATCTTGATTCATATTTTGCATTTTTTCAGGAAACTGCTAAGGGCTTTTCCAAAGGGCAAGAATTCCAGGCCAAGAGGCATCCAGCATGTGGGAGAGGGCGGGGTCCCCCTCAGCGCAGAGTGCTGAGGTGTCTCAGGCTGAGAGTCCCCAAGCAAGAACATTCTGGATGGGGCGGAGGGGGGTTCCTGCACATCTCTGTGTTGTCTCATCCATCCATGTAACTGATTCCCTACGTTGAAGTGCATCTATTTTATTTTCTTATTTTTTAAAAGATTTTATTTATTTATTAGAGAGAGAGAGAGGGAGCCCGAGCAGGGGCAAGGGATAGAGAGAGAAGCAGGCTCCCCGCTGATCAGGGAGCCTGATGCTCGATCCCAGGACCCTGAGATCATGACCTGAGCCAAAGGCAGACGCTTAACCGACTGAGCCACCCAGGCGCCCCTAAAGTGCATCTATTTTAAAGCAGGGGAGAAGGTTAGGCCCCGATATGGACATGGTTTGTTCCCCCCTGCCAAACACTGTGGGGAGCATGGGGAGCCATGGGTGGGGGGTGGGGGCTGGGGATAATGGGCAGCTTTCATTTCATTTTTTGTTACTTTGAGAAAACATCACTTTTGTCATTAAAACAATAAGGGGTGTTTGTGCAGTGGAAAAAAAAAAAGGAGAACAGAAGGAAAGATCCATGTTCTACCTCTCACAGGGATGGAGAAGATAAACTTTTCAGGCGGAGAGCCGTTTATTCATGACCGGGGCGAGTACCTGGGCAAGCTGGTGCAGTTCTGTAAAGAGGAGCTGCGGCTGCCCAGCGTGAGCATCGTGAGCAACGGGAGCCTGATCCGGGAGCGCTGGTTCCAGAACTACGGTGAGCTTCCTGGCATCACGCTGCAGTTGCCACTGCTATGATTGTTGGTTCCGGGCATCCGGGGCCTTAGGTCAGGCATGCTGGGGGAGCAGGGGGCACGGGGAGCAGGGTGTGGGGCAGGGAGGAGACACCAAACCCAAATCCCTTTGCAAGCCATGCATGCAGTTAGGAGGCTTCCTTCTGCGGGGCTCTATACTTAGAGCCCTATACTTGTTGACTAACTTGTTGGCAAGACAGGTAAGGAAATGTTAGCACAACTATGTTATGTGTCCCAATTCAGCAGGTGCTGAGCCCTATGGCTTTAGCTTAGCCGCTAGCAAGGAGCATTGACACAGTTCCACAACCCCTACCTTATGGCTTGCTACTAATGTTTACTTTTTAAATATTAAAGGAACTATCGCTTTATTAGTCTCATAAATGAAGCAATTGGACTAAAACAATCTTTCCCACCTTTGGCTACATTTTTGGCTGCTGAAGAAAGTTAAATAAAGTATCTGTGTGGGGGCTGAATCCCGGGCTAATTATATCAGAACCAACTCGAGGGGCTCTACTCTGCGGCCAGGATGCGAACCACGGAGCCTAAGACCGTGCAGTTCCCTTACAGCGGAGTTTCCATAGACGTGATATCCCTAGAGCAGTACCCGGAACTTAGGGAGCAGTGGAAAATATTCATTTTAGGAGACAGGGATAACTCTTAGAGCACAGTTTTCTGTTCTAATCTGTATGAGCTATTGGAGCCTTGACATCACTGAAAGAGGGGTTGCATTTACTCTCTATTGAGGCTGCTCACAGGAAGTCTCTGACCCCTCCCAAGATGACGGAGAGATGGGAGTGGGGAGGGGAGACTGTGGATGAGCGCGGGGCAGCCCATCTGATGAAAGTGAAGCAAGAAGACGAATTCAGAAGTCTCTGGGAAAGGTAAATCAGGGAAGACTACAAGATGACGTGTGCAAACCAAAACGTCTGTGAAGGGAGTCACTAAGTGAAATGGGGTCAGAAGCTTCCAAGTAAACTCTGAGAACCAGATTCAGAAAGGCAAGAAAGGTTTAGGGCATGGTGTGAGCAGGGGAGAATCGGTCAGGCTTGTTGGCGGTGTCCCCGAGCCGCGCTCTCCCTCCAACCCTGGCTCTCATGCCCAGTGTGGTATGAAGAGCAGGTCCTGCGGGATCACTGCGTCCAGGGTCAGAAGCTCACATGCTGGCATGGGAGAGGCCATGTGAATGAGTGAATTTGGAGGTGCAGAAGAAAAACCCACTTCAGTCCCTTCAGTAGGGAGATAATAAGCAAGTGGGAGGCCATGAAGAATAAGAAGCACCATGTTCTGTTCATAGTGGACAGACGGACAGCCAGTGAGTCATGAGCTTCCATTGACATTTATCCTCTGTGGGAGTGTAGGCTTAGTGTTGTCATATTCTGAAATCTACGTTCTATCTTCAATCTCCCAATTAAATATTTGCAAATAATTTGAAATATTGTTAGATGTCATGAGGGAAAAACAACAGCAGTGTTTATGTATAACTATGTGGTCTGTAAGCCTCCAGTCTTCCACCTCCAGTTTAAAGGACCAAGGGTGAGTCAGTGAGCTTGAGTGGACCAAGAGAGCCATTTGGATCAACTGCCATCTCTCTAAGTTTGGCGGTTTTCTAGGAGTGCTCACAAGACTCAGTAGCCAATTAGACTCATGGCTAAGGTTCATCAGAGCAAAGGATGCGGTGCAGAACCAGTAGGGAATGGGCGTCACAGGGGTCCAGAGAGGTCAGACACGGGCTTCTGAGTCCTTCCCTTCCAGGACGTACAAGATGTGCTTTCTCGCACGCACAGTGAACCATAGGGACATGTCTGGAATGTTTTTGCCCAGGAATGCTCATGTGAGTCTTAGGGTCCGAGGCTTTTATAGAGAGCTGGTCACTTAGGCTCATACTGCTGGGTACCCTTCCACGGCAGCTGCAACTCAGGACTCCCGACAACAAAACCAGGTACACCGTGAACCTTGTTCACCAATCCCAAAAGCTCTTGACAAGCTGATTAAACATGCCGCATTGCTCCAGACATAGACACATCATCAATGGGAAACACAGAGAACATTCTGGTGGCCATACATGCAGGGATTGGCCAAAACTCCCTCATAGTTCCATGTTCTTCTAGAGACTGGCGAGGACTCAGCAAACAGATCTGCTGTGCTAACTCTCTCTTCACAAGGGCTCCTACAAGACAGTCTGAGCGCAGGAGGAGGGGATATAATTCAGATGTAGCAATTAATGAAGGACCTCATTTAAATGTGCCACTAAACACTCAGACACATACAAGTGCCATTTTAGGTTGGTCAAATGGGAGTATCTCCATCACCTCATGATGTGTATATTTATTGTTTTTCAAGATTATTTAAACAAATACCAAGTATAATTCACATTTCTGTGAGTGTTGCAGGTATGAGGAAAAGTCTTTTTAAACATTAATACTTAGATACAAGCAAGATGTGTTTTATCATAAAGAGATATAAATGGCCTAAAAGCTTTGGTCCTTGAATGGAAAGGCTGAAAGGTGCTCACTTTCCCTCAGGTGAGTACCTGGACATCCTTGCCATCTCCTGTGATAGCTTTGATGAGCAAGTCAATGTCCTCATCGGCCGTGGTCAAGGAAAGAAGAACCACGTGGAAAATCTTCAGAAACTGAGGGCGTGGTGTCGAGATTATAGAGTGGCCTTTAAAATAAATTCTGTCATCAATCGATTCAACGTGGACGAGGATATGAGGGAAGAGATTCAAGCCCTGAACCCTGTCCGCTGGAAAGTAAGTACCGTGTCCCTTTTGCTGAGTTAATTCAGAAAATGTTCGGGCAAAAAACTTGTGACACTGAAACCCGAAATGTTCAAGTGAGAGAGGACTCTGGACTGACCGAGCCAGCCGGGAGACCGGGTCCTTGGACCCTCTTCCAGCTCTCTTAAACTTTAAACTACTTACACTCCCTTTGTCTCAGTCTCCCCTCTAAAAACTGGAACTGATTCCCTTCTGGAATGTTGGGAGGATAAAGGTCAAAATATATAGTCAGGGGGCACCTGGCTGGCTCAGTCGGTGGAACATGAGATTCTTGATTATTGGGGTTGTGAGTTCGAGTGCCATGTTGGGTGTGGAGATTACTTAAAAATAGAATTAAAAAAAAAAAAAGATACAGTCAGTGCTTGGAGGTGTTCTGAAGAATATGAAAACCTAGAAAACCTAACCTGTATGTATTTATTAAATATGATAACATCTTTAAAAAAATAAATACATGTATATATATATAATAAGACTAGATTTCTTCTTAAAACTCTTGGCTTATTCATAAATGGATAAATGTTCTCCATAAATTCTATTAATACATTTTTCATTGAATTATTAGAAGATATTGGGGCAGGGGCGCCTGGGTGGCTGAGTCGGTTAAGCATTTGCCTTCAGCTCAGGTCATGATCCCAGGGTCCTGGGATCAAGCCCCGCATCAGGCTCAGCAGGGAGCCTGCTTCTCCCTCCGCCACTCTTTCTCTCTCTCTGAAATAAATAAATAAAATCTCAAAAAAAGAAAAAAGAAGATATTAAATGACACTATCCCCAAGTTGTGGCGAAGTGAATTCGCCAAGATCTGTGCTTTAGGACTAACCCCTCTATCAGCTACTAAAAAGTCTAAAGTTCAAACTCAAGGTATATTTATAGCACCCACAATGTACAGACACTTACAAGTAACAGTAAATTAAAGTTTCATTAAAGTTTCCTACCCCTGGCTGTTCTTCAGAATCAACTCAGGGAACTGTTTTTAAAAGCAGCTTCCTGGACCTGCACCCTCTACCCAGAAGAACTGGAGAGAAGCTAAAGAAAGAGGTGTGGTGGGAGGAACAGAGGCTGTGGTCCAGGAAGGGGGATGGACGAGGGCCAGAGGCTAGGCTCCAGGTTCTTAGACTTTCCTTCTAGAACCACCTGCCCATCACTCTCCTCTTCCCTGATCCCCCATCTATGTCCCACTTCTTCTGCTGTTACTGTTTTCCTCACTATTCTCTTTTCAGCTTCTCTCTATATGTATATACGTTTTTCCTCCTGGCTTTGGTTTGCGAGGAGCTCCTCGTAGCTTCTTGATCTCAGAGCTTTCTTCTCCAATCTTATAACTCCTACTGTGGCTCCCACTTGTTGATTCACTCCAGAACTGCCTGTTCAAAATCCTGGGTTTTCTGGAGGGGGCAGATTAGCTACTGCCTGTTTGGAGAGCAGTTTTCGCCTCAGATCACGGGTGTCTGCAGACTGCAAACCGATGAAAATCAATGCCCTCGGGTCAGGTGCCTGGGTGGCCCAGGCTGCGTCCTCCATGGGAGGGCCGGGGCTCCCGGGCCCGTCAACAGTACGCCAGCACTGAACACGCATTGGCGGGAAGGGCCCTCATAGTATTCCTCAACAGAGGGCTTTGTTGTCACCTGGAGGCTTGCTGTAGCCACAACAGAGCTGGCCCCACCTAACCTTACCCAACCAATCCCACCACCCTCCTCCCATTCTGCTTCTCATGCTCCTTTCAAGCTGGAACCAAAGTCACCGGGAGAAAAGCCCACGTGTGTCTTCACCCACCTGATATTCAAGTCAGCCTGGGCTTCCAACCCGTGTGGATACCTCCTCTGACCTCCCTGCTAGTCCTCTCTCCCCACCCTGTGCCTGGACTGGGCTTGGGTGCTGTGGGGACAAAGGTGAGGGGTGTCCCCTCCCTAGAAGCTCACAGCCTACTGAGCAAGACAGTCATGAAAGCAAATAGTAAAACCACTGTGTGACCAGGGTCTGCAGGGACTGGGGAGCACAGAGGAAGGGGCTGAGAATAGAGTGAGCAAAGAAGGCAAGGGTTAGGGAATTTTACAATTAATTCTAAGCTGACAAAAATGTTAATTAAACACTATGTATAATCACCCCCTTCCTTGAAAACCCCACAGACCCGGGCTCTGTGCTGGCTGTGTGTTTGATCAGCTGCCATCTCGTACCACCTTGAGCGGATCCCTGGGACAGGGTTTTTCCTTCTCAGATGATGGTATTCCTTATGAGGGAATAATACATTCACACATACACAATTATTGACTTAAAAGAATGTTGGAAGATTCTTATTGGCTTTGGGAAACTGTCCTGGAATATTAACTGCAAAATAAACTACATAGTCGAGAGGCCTTAATAAGGATATATTGAAGTCAGCAGAAACAACATTTTGAAAATACTTGTTTCTTGGTTTGGGGATCACAAATGATTTATTTTCTTAATGCTTTTGTATAGTCCATATTCCCTGCAATGAACACCTGTTACTTGGTGTTCTGCAAAATTAGATTATCAGACTGGATCAAACATACACTAGACCAGTTTTGTATTTTTGGATGGTTGGCACTTCCTGACTTTGAGGGCCCCAGAGCAATGTCTTTCTAGACTGTTCCTGAGTCAGAGCAGTCTTCTTTGCTTAGAAGAGATGACGCTGGGTCTAGGGGAATGAAGTTTGGGGTAAAAATGGTGGGAGGCTCTTTGCAAAGCAAACACCGTCCTTATCTTCCAGGTCTTCCAGTGTCTGCTGATTGAGGGGGAGAATTCTGGAGAGGATGCTCTGAGGGAAGCGCAGCAATTCGTTATCAGCGATGAGGAATTTGAAGGATTCTTAGACCGCCACAAAGAGGTGTCCTGTTTGGTGCCCGAGTCTAACCAGAAGGTTGTATGAAGCAAACATTGCTTGGTTCATCCTCACACCTTGAGATTGACTCCAAACAGGGAGCTCTAGCCCAGAGGGATCCACACACTGTTCCTTTAGAGGGTTCAGCGGGCAGGATGGGAGGGGTGCAGTCACCTTCCAGCTGTGGGACCTCTGAAGGAACTTCAGAGGCCCTTCTCCCTCCCCTGTCCTTGGGCCATGCGTTCACCCATTGTTCCCACAATGGGAGCTGTTCCAAGGACACAGCCCTGAGCGGGGACAGCTTCCTATAGGAGGATAGGTCCACCTCCCATATACCTATAGAAGGTATAACTAGTTACAAGGAATGAAAGTCACATTAAAATCTTCAGGTAAGCTCCTAGGGAATAGCATCAAGGCTTTACACATTGAAAAAGGGGGAAATTCCGTGTAGGGTAGGAACAGCCATTGGGAATATTGAATACAGAACAAGGGTCTCCCACAGCTTGAGGAAATGGGGAAATTAGCCTGGGGATTTCATTGTCAGGGAAGCTGTCAGAGTGGGGCAGGGAACCCAGCCTGCTGGCCGTTTCCGGAATCTGAACAGACACAGACAGATGCCCCTGCAGATGTATGTTAGGTGGGGATGGGGGCGCCAGCGGATCAATCGCCTTGAAAGGGACATACCCAAAGCCACTCGAGGGATATAAGAAGCGTAGAATCCCGAAGTAATAAAGCACAAATATACCAACGCTGTGAGACAGACCCTTACACTTGAAACTACATTTGTATTTAATTTCTCTTTTGCAGATGAAAGATTCCTACCTCATTCTGGATGAGTATGTAAGTATTTGTAATGAATTATAAAATTTGAAAACTTTTAAAATAAGAAGAATTTTAAAAATTAGAAAAAATTAAGCCGCAATGCCAGAGTTGAGCTATAATGAGCATAACCGGTCCCAATTTTTCTTCTGACCCAGCATTTCATGTTTTTATCGTCACTGATTAGCGTTCATATTATAGAGCCCTTCCCGCACTGGGTGGGTTCCGAGCTAAGCACGTGGGCAGGACTTGCTTGAACCTGGGCCCTGTATTTGCACCAACCCCAGGCGATGGATCCGTGGATATCCCCTTGAATCTGACATTGCAAAGAAAGCAGAGTCCTCTGTCATGCCGTCTTGGGCTGGGAGTTCCCCGGCAGTGGGATCCCAGGGTGCTTTGGAGGGAGGTCCTCTCCCACTTCACATCACCTTTAACACCTCAGATGCTGCCAGCTCGTCTCTGACTGATAAGTCTTGGCTTTGGTGAGAAGCGGTTGGTTACAGCTCCTCTCTCCAAACCGCTGATAGCATTGTTATACCTCTGCCTTACGAAGAAAAAGGAAAACCTACCCCTTCTCAGATTTGAAAAACAAATCACTTTTTTCTTTCCTTTGTCTTTTTTTGGGGGAAGGGGGCTAGATTCATAAATCTTTGCCAATAGTTCTAGTATAGGACGAACAAGTCCATCCGAAGACCTGTTTCTAAGAAATGAGCTCCAGGGGTGCCTGGGTGGCTCCGTCTGTTAAGCACCTGCCTTCAGCTCAGGTCATGATCTTGGGGTCCTGGGTGTTGGGCCCCACGGCAGGCTCCCTGCTCAGCGGTGGAGCCTGCTTCTCCCTCTCCCTCTGTGTGTGCGTGCATGCTCTCTCTCTCTCTCAAATAAATAAATAAAATCTTTTTTAATAAAACAAAGAAATGAGCTCCAACAAGAACAATGGCTTTAATGTATACATGGAATTTGGTGTTTTGAGAAATATTTATTTTGACTTTTGGTATTTTCCTATTTTTAAATTAATCAATGATGCTTCACAACCATTTCATTGTTTCTCAACATGAGCTTCCTTTATGGAGCGTAAGGGGAAAGCACTAATGTTCAGCATGTGGGCTCGAGTTAGAAATGAAAAGTCAGAATTTTTTTTTTTTGTCTTTTTAATTTTTTATTTTTAGAGAGAGAGTGTATGTGTGCAAGGAGGGAGGCTGAGGGGGAGGGTCAACGGAAGAGGGAGAGAGAGAATCTTAAGCGGGGCTTAATCTCATGACCCTGAGATCATGACCTGAACCGAAATCAAGAGTTGGATGCTTGATTGACTAAGCCCCCGTTCCACACCCCATTTTTTATTTTTGGAGTATCATGATTGGCTGGGGATTTTTGGAGTATCATGATTGGCTAGGGATTCCTCCACAAACCCTCTGGTCTCCACACAGTTGCCACAAACATAGTGGAACCAAAATTTGCTTTTGGTAATTTAACATTTTGATTCAACAAGTATTCCTACAAGATACTTAGTGACATAGCTCAGAAGAAGTGTGAAGACCTCATTCCTGCCTATAAGGTGCTTAGTTTAGGGTGAAAACTGGGACGCTTGACAGGGCATATTCGACCCTTCTTGACCTGGTGCCTGCCTGCCTTTGTACTTCCTTATCCCTCTTTCTCCCTTTCTTGAAAGAAGTTTTTATTAAGGTTATGCCTATATATTTATGCATGAACCGTTTTCACTCCACAATATCATCTATCTGCAATTTCCCAAAGACACCACCCTGCTCCACGCATCTGTACTTTTATAACGCTCTTCTCTCCAGCTTACAATTTCTGAACGTCACCCCTCCCCCATGGAGGGACATGCACCTGCTGCGGCATGTGTATAATTCAGTCTGTCGTGCACTTAATTGATCTAATGTGTTTATGTTAGTTAAGGTGAGCTACTTGAATAGAGAAAGGGTCTTCAAGGAGGTCAGCATCCTTAGTATGGTGTCTGGCCCACAGCCTTCAATAAATATTTGTTGAACTGACTGCACTATCAAAAATCAGTCTGGATTAATCCTCAAAATTGAGTTTCACGGGATAAATTATATAAAATTATCCCCTTTCTGTCTTGAATTTCCTAGATGCGCTTCTTGAATTGTAGGAATGGGCGGAAGGACCCTTCCAAGTCGATCCTGGATGTTGGGGTAGAAGAAGCTATCAAATTCAGTGGATTTGATGAAAAGATGTTTCTGAAGCGAGGAGGAAAATATGTATGGAGCAAGGCAGATCTGAAGCTGGACTGGTAGAGCCGAAAGCGCAGCAAGCTTCAACCCACCCCTGGGGACTCTTGCTCAGACTCAAGGTGTGGCAACTTCCAGCAGCGGCGCTTCCTGTAGGCATTTTGCAGTGGCCCCAGATGTGATTTTCTGTTGCACAGGCTCTCCGATTATCTGTGGTAACTGAACACACAAATCACTTGGGTAATTGAAATCCATGATAATGCAAAACCATTAACTTTAGTTAATTCGCTTATTTAGGATTTAGTTCTTTGAGCACTGTTTTCTGTGACTCCTATGTTCCCCAATTTTGATGTTATTTTTTCCAGTCCTTTCATTTGATAGACTCAGGGTTATTTTCTGCTAAATATTGAAATGCCAATGTTCATACCCAGAGCAATTACAAAAGCTCTCCCCCAATTATTCTGCTTGTTGCAACACTCTTTCCTTTCTGTCTTTCTACCACTGAAGTCTTGGACTTTTTACCCAGAAGTCTAGAAATAGTCAGCAGATGTTTCAAAGAGTAGGAAATGATCATCTCATCAGTTTTCAGTAAGTACCTAGAAGGAGATCGTTCGTCTGCCTGTGCTCTGCGCGACCCCTGGCCCATGTTGACTACTCCATGAACGTGAGCTATCTCTGCTGCTCTCCTTCTTCTTCCAAGAGTCTCAGCAAAACCAACAAACCCTTTACATCTTGTGCCAAAGTTGACACGGGGTCGGTGTTTGGGTTGCCTATGAACCTGTTACTCCTGCCACCTGAGTCTGCCTAGCAACAATGCATGAATCCATTTGAACACAGTTGTCCCCACATCTCTGAGAAATGACACCATATGGCTCAGATGGTTAAGCCTTCAGCTCAGGTCATGATCTCCAGGTCCTGGGATCGAGCCCCATATCGGGCTCCCTGCTCAGCAGGGAGTTTGCTTCTCCCTCTCCCTCTGCTGCTCCCCCTGCTTGTGCTCTCTCTGTCTCTCTGTCTCTCTCTCTTTCTCTCGCTTTCAAATGAATTAAAAAAAAAAAATCTTAAAAAAAAGAAATGACACCTTACTAGATCGGCCTCATGTGTTAGGAAAAAGCACTGGGCTAGTGTGTGGGAAAGAATGTGTGGAAATATCTAGAATGTACCTGGATTTTACATAAAGGGAGCCATGGCACAATATAATATATCTCAACTAATTCTGAATCACTTGATATAAGGATATAATCTGGGTCAATAGGAGAAGATCCTGTGCCTTCTTTTCACAGCTTCTTCGGGAAAATGTCACCTAAACTGGGTCAGAGAACAAAGTCCCCTTCCTTGTGGAAATATCACATGCAGTTTGTTTATGTAATTTAGACGGTATCTCATTGCCTGGAAAACAATAATTTCATATCATTGTTTCAGAAAACAAAATCATGGAAAGTTTTTTTGCCCAAGCATAGAAAAATTTTAATCCAGCCGCCATGCCAGTGTTGGTCACTAGGTGGCAGTAAATGTTGCCTGAGTCCATTAAGCAGCCATACCGAAATACCCAGTTTCCAGACTTGATGGTTTTGAAAGTTTGGTTTTTGTAATTTTTTTTTCCTCAGAAAAGATACTTATACTTCAGATTTTAAGTCACTATGATTCAACTGAAATGTTTTTGGGTCCCATCTCAAACAGGGTTAACATAAATGGGTAAAACAAATATATAAATAAAATTTAAAAATTAATTAACTAATTTTTTTAAAAAGGATGGGTTATCATGCATTTTCCATTTTATTTTGTTTTATATTTTAAGGGAAAAATGAATTAGAAAGCTTTTTCCCTGGGCGCCTGGGTGGCTCAGTTGGTTAAGCGGCTGCCTTCGGCTCAGGTCATGATCCTAGAGTCCTGGGATCGAGTCCCACATCGGGCTCCCTGCTCGGCGGGGAGTCTGCTTCTCCCTCTGACCGTCCCCACTCTCATGTGCTCTCTCTCATTCTCTCTCTCTCAAATAAATAAATAAAATCTTTAAAAAAAAAAAAAAGAAAGAAAGCTTTTTTCCTGTATGGCTTAATATAATCAGTATAAACATAAAAGGTTTTTTTTTTTTTTTTAATGTAACATGAGAGCACTTTGCTGATCTTCACATTATTCAGCAAGAGCAAATTCAGCCTAGAAAGATCACGGATGTGGAAGCACTGAAGATGTTGTCTGGTAGACAGCGGGGGCTCAATCATTATTATTTGAAACGAAATCTAGATGGGAAACCCGCAACCTCGGAGTTGGAACGAATTTCTCTCAAATTCACTCAAATTCAAAATGCGGGGAATTGTATAACTTCCTCCCAAAGGGAAGTCTAAAACATAATGAAACAAAACAACTGCACCTGAGAAATAAGTATTTTAAATATTTTTCCAACTGGTTTGATACCAGCCCTCCCCTGCCCGATGCCCTGTCAGGATTTGCAATGTTTAAAATACCTAGATGTTTCTTTTTCTTAAGGGGGAGAAAGTCTGATAGAGCCTCCCTGAGATTTCTTGCTGGCTGCCGTCTTGTTGAAAAACTGTTTAATCAGTTGTGATATGGGGGAGACTCACCATGATGTAAGATTTTAAGGCTTTGTCTTGAGTGTATATAGGTCTCAATTTGGGGGAAAAATATATTTTTTCTTCATTTGTGATGCCTTGCGTATCGGTCTGATGTATTGTAAGATGTTGTAATATATTAAAATATTTTTGTACAGTGCCTTCTCTCTCAGTGGGTCAATGTAATGAAGCCTCTCCTTGGTGTATATTTAAAGTAATTGTGTGTTTTTACAAACTGCCATTGCTAAAGGCAAGTACAATTTAAAAATCAACAAGGTTATCAATAATTAATAAGCACATTTAGCAAACCAATCAGCAACAAGATAGAGCGGAGATGAGTCACTGGGGAAAATGCCCTTTGTATTCTAAAATGAAAGCCAGCGTCTTGGGGACCAGGTGTCCAAAACCTGATGGTGTCAGGGAAAGCACCACCCTCCGTCCGTGGTCCTAGCTCCGTGCTCTGAGTGTGAGCTGGTCAGCCATCCAAGGGGCAGGCAGGCGCCTTACACTGGAGTCCAAGGAGGTGCAGAGCTCACCCCTAGCACCCTGGTTCCTAGCTGTCAGTTCAGTTCCTGAGCCTTTCCTTACCTGCATCCACCTGCTCTGCATGGGCTCCACTAGGGTGGGAACCATGAGGACCTCCCCTGCCAGCCAGCACTCCTGCCTTCCATCCCTCCCATAACTGGTTTATTTTTTCATTCAGGGCATCTCAACTTGGCCCTGTCTGATTCTGCTCTCAATTCCAGGCTCTTAGAGCCAAGGGTTCTGCATTCCTGGCCCCAGTGTCCACCTGGTGCCCTCCAGACTTGGACTGGTCCTCCTTGGCCATGCAACATGCCCCTGCACCTGACCTCTGGTTAGGGCACTCACCTCTTCAGGAGGGATGTGACCTCACTACCCACATCCTCTTGGAGGCCGGTGCTTAGCTCCAGCCCCAGAGAACAGGGGTCAGATCCAGGGCCTTGAAGACAGTGAAAGAGTCTCAAGGGGGCAGCTTGAGTCCTTGATCATTGTGTCTGGGCCACAAATTGGGGTACACAACTCCATGTCAAGCTTCTGCTGCTAAGTGCCCTACCCAGTCAGGGGGAAAGAAAGGGTGGATTACACACAAAACCCACACAGCAAGTCCAACCCAGATGCTATTGAGATGGGCTTGGACAATCAGAAAGACTTTAACATTTTTTTCATGATTCTAAAAATAATACATATTTGGAGTATATTTGAAAAACAGAGGAAAGCAAAATGAAGAAAATAAAAATTATCCATAATTGTATCACCTAGAGTTAACTGCTAATTTACTTCACGTCTTTCTGGTCAGGATATTTTTTAATAGAACTGAGTTCATTCTCAATTTTATTTCCCACATAAAATCTTCTGAAGGTTTTTAAAGCCAATCAGCATTCTTATACTTTAATGAGAACTGCCAGTTCCTCACAATTCACACTAATAGATGAGAAGACATTCAATGTCCTTCTAAAAACCACAGCTGGTTTGAAAAAATCACTGGCTTTGGTTTCTGAGTTGCTTACACATTTGTTGATGAATGTGAATATATCTCATGTTCTGGGAATTCACTTTATCCAGAAAAAATAATAATAATAATAATAAAGCTTCTCTGTGCAAGCTCATTCCTGGAGGACCTGGGAAATGGCCCAAAAGTGATTTATGTTTTCATTCAGTGCCATCTTGACTTGGCCCTGTCTGATTCTGGTCCCAATTCGATAATGCGAGGTTTCTCCCCACCACCGAGCAATTCTCCCCCATATGGGGCCCCATAACTCACCTCCACTCTGACGTAAGTGCCTGATACAGCACTGGGTGCTCAGGGTAAGGGCTCAGCCCACAGGACTGCCCCACACACCCCTCCTCAGATGCCAGTCCCAAGCCCAGGGCATCACCTGTCCTCCTGACTTACCAGCTATAGGTCAGAGTTCCCAAAACCCCTTGCCAGGTTCAATTAATTCACTAGAGCGGCTCACCGAACCCAGACAGACATTTTACTTTCTAGATCCCTGGTTTATTATAAAAGGATAAAACTCAGAAACAGCCAGAAGGAAGAGATGCATAAGGCCAGGTATAGGGAAAGGGTGAGGAGCTCCCCTGCTGGCTCCAGGGGTGATGGATCTCCCCAAATCTCTTCGTCTTCCCCAACCTGGAAGCTCTCTGAATCCCATCCTTTTGGGTTTTTATGGAGGACTCATTACAGAGGCATGATTGATTAAATAGTTGGCCAATGGTGATTGAAAATCTCCAGCCCCCCTCTCCCCTCCCAGAGGTCTGGGGGTAGAAACGCAAGTTCAACCTTCAGATCGCAAGGTTGTCTCCCTTGGCAACCAGCCCGCATCCTGAGGGCTTTTCTAAAGTCGCCTTATTAACATAACAAAATCCACTTGCTCTCGTCACTTAGGAAATTCCAAGGGTTTTAGGAGTTCTGTGCCAGGAAGGAGAACAAAGACCAAATGGACAGCTCTTCTTATAAATCACAGTATCACACCCTGAGACCCTCTTAGCTCCTTGACTGAATAGACTGACCTCTAATCAGTGTTCTCTCTTGAGGTTTGGGTTGTAACCAACTCCTGAGAACTCTTTCCAGCGAGTAAGTAGTTACTGAGGAGTCAGAAAACCAGAGAATTTGTGAAGTCGGAGCCACGTCTTTTAAGGAGGGATAACTTATTGCTCCTTACATCACACGTAAGTCAGA